GGAGGGGCAGTAGGGAGAGTACTGACAATGGGGCAATCAGGAAAATCATGGTATGAGGTAGCACAAGGCCTGAGCTATGAAGGGAGCTAAGTGTTTCAAGAGGTAGTGTTGAAGAAGAGCATTCCAAGCATGAAAGACAACCAATGCAAATATAGAGGGCAGGGGGTGAAATGTTGTGTACAAATGAGATCTGGTAGGCTGGTGGCTGTGTAGAGGGCCAGGCCTGCAGTCACAAGGACCTCAATTCAAATCTGACCTTAAACACTTTACTAGCTGTGTGACCCTGAGTAAATCTCTTAAGCCTGTTTGCCTCAGTTTCCTCATCTGTAAAATGAGCTGGAGAAGGAAGTGGCAAACCACTCTAGTAGCTTTGCCAAGAATCATGGAGAATTGGACTCTACAAAATAACAACCAAAAAAAGCCAATTTACCCGAAAATTAGAGGGTATGCAATCAGTCCAGAAAGATAGGATGGCACCAATTTGTGAAGAGCTTTAAATGCCAAAAAGAAGTTTGCATTTTATTCTAGAGGTAGCAATGGGGAAGCATAGAAGATCCTTGATCTGGGGAAGTTGCACAATCAGATGTGCTTTAGGAATATCAATTTGGCAGCAGTGAGGAGAATATATTAAAGGGAAGGGCTGGAGGCAGGGAGACCAATTAGGGGCAGTTGCAGTAGTCCAGGTATGAGGTAATGAGTGGATGTGCTAGTACAAAGATGACAGGTATGAGAGATGCTGTGAAGGTAATGTCTCCCAAACTGAGCCTGATTGGACATGCTTCCTAAAATGTGGCACCCAGAAGGAAACATAATGTTCCAGAGGCAGAATAAGAGGATACGGGAACAGGACAATGGGACTGTCACCTGCTTAGCTCTGGACTCTGCCTCTGATGTGGCCTGTGATTGTGCTAGCTTTTTTGGCTAATGAGATTATTCAGCATTCACCAAATGTCTGTTAGGCCCATATCTGAATAAAGAACACAGCACACTTGGTACTCTAGAGAAGCAAAGATAAATTAGTCACAGTGGGCTAGTAAGTCAGTCAACTAGCATTTATTAAGCACCTACTATATGCTTCAGGTGCTATGTTAAGCTCTGGGGATACAAAGGCAAAAAAAAGTCTCTGCTTTCCTGGACCTCACTGTTTAATGGAGGAGACATTAGGAAAACAACTACGTACAAACAAGATGTATGCAGGATAAAATGGTATACTCAGAGGGAAGGCACTAAAATTGAAGGGAAGCCTAAAAAAGGCTTCTTGTAAAAGGTGGAAGTGAGATTTGAAGGACAGCTAGGAAGCAAAGATGAAGAGGGAGAGCCTTCCAGATATGGGGGAGAGCTGGCAAAAAAATGCCTAGAGTCAGGAGAGGAAGGGTTTTGTTGAAAGAACAGCAAGGAAACCAGTGTCACTGGTTCATAGCATATGTTGGAAGCATGGGCAAGGGGTGGGCAGTACTGGAGGGGTTGTAAGGTATAAGACTGGAAAGGTGGAGAGGGAACAGGGCTTTAAATATCAACAGGAGGCTTTGGAGTTGATCCTGCAAGCTTCAGGGAGCCATTGGAGTTTATTGGGTTAGGGATGGTGGTGACGTGGTCAGACTCATACTTTAGGAAAATTGGCAGCTGAGTGGAAGATAATTGAAGTGGAGAGAGAGATGGGAGGCTGAGAAACCAACCAACAGACCATTGGGGTGGCCAAGGAGTGAGGCGATGAGGGCCTGAGCCAAAACGGTGGCAGCGTCAGAGAAGAGAAGGAGGCTTGTGTGCGAGATAGTTACGGAGGTGGAAACAACGGGACTTGGTCACTAAACAGATATTGGGGAGCTGGTTTGAGGAGAGTTTTGGATACTTAGGTTTGGAACCTAGATGACTAGGAGAGGGATGACGCCTTGGACAGTAACACAGAAGGTAGGAAAAGGGGCAGGGTTTGGGGGGAAAGATAACGAGTTCAGTTTGAGATATGTTGAGTTTTGTCAGATGTCTTCTCATAGCAGGACAGATAAAAAATGTATACCATATAACACAGCAGCTGTATGTAAAAGAAGCCAAATAAGTTCATTAGGAGCCTTGATTAAATTGTTACCTATTAATGTGAACACAAGCAGAAGGCTCAGAAGGGATCCTCTCTCCTCCTCCATACCCCCTCTGCATTTCTGCCCAGGTTATTCCAGATGACCCCACTTCCCAGCTAGCCCAGGAACATGGAGCTCATGAAGTATGGGGTCATGGGTATGATGATACTCACATAGAAAAAGCTCTGACTCTGGAATCAGGGGACCTGGATTCAAATTCTGTCTCTGATGATTGCTACCTATGTCACCTGAGCAAATCATTTTTACCTCCCTGAGTCTCAGTTTCCTCATCTGTAAAATGAGTGGAGTAGACCAGGTGGTCTCTAAGATCCCTGCCAGCTCTAGATCTAGGATCCTGAGCCCATGAGTTCTGATTCTGTTCCATGAACACAGACAGATTCCTCTGTTTATTCTATATAGTACATACTCTATATATAATAGGGAGTATATAATATATACTCGATATATTCCCCTAAACTACCATTTCACAAACATGTCATGGAGTATGAGAGAAACAGACAAGAGAATGCAGAGGAGTCCACGTAAATCCCCTCCTACCACTAGAAAGACAACCCAAAGCACACAGCTCCCATCACAGGATGGTACATTATTGAGGCTCTTTTTAGTTGCCTCTGTGAAATGTTATCCTAGAATGCCAGAGACCCTGGGCTCTTGAATGGCATATCCATAGAGTGCAAACTGGCAAGTCTTCAAGGATGGGCCAAGTGACTGACAGTCTGTTGTCTGAGACCCAGCCTCACTATGTAGGTCACCTGCAAGGCTGGAGAATTTTTGGCCATACCAAACTCTTGAAGACTTTCTATTGAGCTCTATAAACTGGTGATTATCTGTGTCATTGGCAGGAGTACCCACACTGAAAAAAACATCACAGATTCGTGTAGTATTGAAGTATTATCTTTTACCTCAATCAATCAATAAGCATTTATAAAGGGCTCACTGTGTACCAGGTCCTATGCTAAGCACTGGAGATACAAAGAAAGGTAAAATAGGGTCCCTGTCCTCAAGGAGATCACAGTCTCATGAGAGAGATGGTTAACACACAAGTAACTATGTGTTGTTTGGGTTGTTTTGGTTGTGTCTGACTCTTCATGACCCCATTTGGGGTTTTCTTGGCAAAGATACCAGAGTGGTTTGTCATTTCCTTCTCCAGATCGTTTGATAAATGAGGAAACTGAGGCAAAGAGGGTTAAGTGACTTACCTAGAGTCACACAACTAGTAAGGGTCTGAGGCCAGATTTTAATTCAGGAAGATGAGTCACTCCAGGCCCAGCACTCTATCCACTCTCCTAGCCGAGAGTATCTAGCACAGTGCTTTCTCTGGATATTTGACTTAATAGATATTTGTTGGATGTTGAATCTCATTAGCCAAAAAAGCTAATTTGATCTTGGGCTACATTGAGAGGCATGGTATCTAGGAGCAGGTAGGAATCATCTATATGGCATCTCCCACAAGTGGGAGACTCAGCTTGAAGATCTTCAGCCATGAGAAGGCCATACTCTCCTGAAGAGACCCAGTCCACTACAGGAAAGCTCTTATTATTTGGAAGCTTTCCCCTAAATGGAATCCCCTAAATCTCTACAATTTTCAACTGTTTAGTCTTACTTAGCTCTACCCTCTGACACCCAAGCAGGACAAATCTAATCCCTCTTTCTTGTGATAGGAATATTTGTATATTAAAAGAGGACCAGAGGAAATGGGCAATGCCCAGCCTATAGCATGGATTCTGTGGCACAATTTCAGACATCAAAATGAGGTTTATTTATTTATTGGTAGGACAGCTAAGTGGCACAGTAGATAGAGAAGGAGGCGAAGTCAAGAGGACTTGACTTCAAATCTAGCCTCAGATACTTACTAGCTGTGTAACCCTGGGCAAGTCACCTAACCCTGTTTGCCTCCGTTTCCTCAATTGTAAAATGAGTGGGAGAAGGAAATGGCAAACCACTCAGATATCTTTGCCAAGAAAACCCCAAATGGGATCAGAAAGAGTCAAATATGACTGCAAATGACAGAATAACAAAAACCGACAAAAGTTCATACTATGTGAGAATCACTTGAAGGAAGGAACTGGGGTTGTTTAATTAGAGAATAAAAGACTCGGAGGGGAATTTGGGGAGTAGGAGGACCTGATAGCAATCTCCTAGTGTTTGAAGGAGGAGGGATTCAGCTGATTTTGCTTGGGCTGAACTACAAACAAAGGCTCGAAAGTTGATGAAAGGCTGGTTTGAGTGTGATGTAAGGAGCATGTTTTCAGTACTGTTGAAAGGAGGCATGTGGCTGTCCTGGGAAGCAGAGAGCCCTCCCTCTTTGAGAGGAGGCTGCATGATCACTTTGTCAAGAGTGTTTCAGAAGGGGCTCTGGATCAGATATGTGTTAGACCGGATGGACTCGGAGGTCACCTCAGACTCTGTAAGCTGGGTACTCCAAGAGTCATTCTCCCCTTTTCTCCTTCAATCTCTCCCTCTCTGCTGCTTACTTTCCCACAGCCTGCAAACTTTTCAAGTCTTTCTTAAAAAACAGACAAACAAGAACAAGAACAACAAAAAACGCTTGTTCTTCCTACACTTTTGACTATATCACTCCCCTTTTTCACAGTTGGAAAAACACTGACTTTGGCATCAGAGGCCCTGGATTCAAATCCCAGCTCTGCCACTAACTAGCTGTGACTGTATGTGGATCTCATTATCTCCCTGACTAAACAGAAAATAAAGAGGTTTGGACAAGATGACTGATAAGGCCCTTTCCAGCCCCGAAACTATGATGTTATGATTTTTCTGTAAAGAATAGTCCACACAATCTGCCTCCACTTCCTGAGCACCCACTCACTCCCCCCACCCCCACCCTTGGCTTTCATGCCGACTCCCTCCCCTCTCCCCACTCTACTAAAACTGTGGTCTTGAAGCTCTTACCCATGACCTCTTCTCCAAGAGAATGGCACTCTACCTCAGAGTTCTTGGGGAAGCTGTCCTCTCCCACACACATTCACACACAAATAAACAGGCCCCAGAGGCCAAGTAAATGTTTATGATCACCTGTTCCCCCACTCTTGGGGGGAGGAGAGAGGAGTAGTCGAGAGTCAAACCACCTGGATGAATGTGAAGGAGCAGTAATACGAGAGGCACAGATTCCTGGTTCAAGCCAGAGCCTAGACATGCCCTTGAGTTCTGGCAGTCATTCGCCTCCAGAGACCTCCGGCAGGTTTTGGGGGAGGAGACCCCAGAGGCAAATACATTCCAGGCTTCTATTGTCACTTTCCCAGAAGCTGTCCATCTGGAAGGGAGGGTTCCTCACCAACCAGCCTCTCCAACCCTCTTCTGCCCAGAATCATCTACCTCAAATTGCCAACTTTATATTTCCCTCAGGCTTTGGAGTCAGGGAACTTGGATTCAAATCCCATAACCTCACTGGGCTTCAGTTTCCTCCTCTATTTTCCCATCCAGCTCTAAATGTATGATCCTAGTTCATTGTGAACATGGGAGTAAGAGGAAAGGCCCTGAGTGAAGGACTCAGGCAAGTCAGGAGGAGACAGAAAGGGGACATTATCTTATCTGAGAGTTTCTAGGACTGTTTCTTGGTTTCATTCTCTTTCTATTTAGAGTGGTAATCCAACTTCAAACATTTATTGAACTTGCTTCAGTGTGTAGAATATACTAGTTTCTGGAAGAGACAGGTCTGGGTCCCCGCCCTCCTAAAGTTCACAGTCTAGTAGAGAGACGAGATGTTACACAATATAATATGACTGTGTTAGACAGGTGTGAAGTGAGGGGAAGGTTGTAACTGACCAGGAAAATTAGGGAAGACTTCTTCGAAAAAGTGGCCTTTCAGTTGGACTTTCAAAGATGGGTAGGAACTTACCAAGTACCACAGTGGAGGACCTTGATGAGGTGGGGTTGGGAGGTGGGGTGTAGAGAGGACATTCCAAAAGAAGAAAGGTTTTTTTGTTGTCCCACATACTTTGAGAAGTTCAGGAAGAATTGCGTATACTTAAAAGCTAGATGAAGTCACTGGGCCTCTCAGTCTCAATTTTCTCATTGTCAAATAGAGATAATAATACTTAGACTAAATAAAAAACTTTTCTTAAAATACTAGAGAAATGTGAGTTTCAAGGGATCTATCAGGGCAAGTTGTTAAAAAAAAAAAAAGACTATCCCAGCCAAATCAATTAATCAATCAATAAACATTTATTAAGCATCAGCTATGTGCTGGACACTGCCCCTTTATCTTAGATAACCCTTCAGGAGACAGTAAGGCAGGAAGGACCTTTCCTTGAAACTCTCAAAGAGAAAGTCTTTGGGTTTTAGGGTAGCCCTGGAAGTGTGTGGGGGGGGGAGGAATTGGGCATCAAGATGGCTTGGTCCATGCCTGAGAGGTAGCACAGAAGATAGAGACTTCTCGTTTCCTGATCGCCAGAAAGGAAGGTCACCAATGTGCAAAGGAAGGAAGTTCTGGTCTGTTGTGGCCTGCCACTAGTTCTGAATCAGAGACCTTCCCTCTCCACCTCTCTACTTCCTTCCTTTCTTCTCTCCTTTGACCCCTTTCCCCCAGGACGTGATTCGGCTTAGAAGAAAATAGGATGAGAAGTCAGGAAACCCAAGACAAGTCCCAGCTATTCCTTAGCCTTATGACTCTCACAAAAGGGTGTGAACCTTCCTAGGCCTCAGTTTCCCTTGGGGGGAAATTGGAGGAATCCAAAACAGGGCTTTCTTGAGGTGGGAGTTCCCCAAATGGCATGAGCCATGGAAGCATCACTGGTATAAGTGACTATTGGAAATGACAATGTGTTCTTAGACATATGAGTTTAGGCATGGTTGATATATCACTGTCCCATTACTTGATGAGCCCAAATAAATCAACAAATCAAATTAACAAATGTTTATTAAGCACCTATTATTCTAGCAGAGGTACTGTTCTAGTCTAGAATCAGGACTCAAACTTGTGTCTTTTGACTCCCAGCCTTCTTTTCATGACTATACCATGCTGTAATTTAGTCTCTCTAGGCCTTGGCTATAAAATGAGGGGGTTGGGTCAGCCAGTTCTAAAGTACCTTCCTGCTCCTGATACTGTGATCATGTGGTAAGCAAGACAACATGTCAGCCCACACGTCCTCCCTGCAAGCTGCAAGGTGGTTGCTTATGCCTTCCCTGGCAGCTGATTCACCACCAATTAGCCAATATCCCACCCCACTCGGCCTTAAGTCACCGTCAGTCACATTCCAGGCAGCTCTGGGAACAAAACAACTTTGGGTATCAGGGTCTGGTGAGCTGTCAAAGTCCTCCCGTGGACTGGCCTCGCCCTGCACAGCTTAATTCAACATGGCAGGTTTGGTTTCAAAATCGAAAGAACAGGGCAGGGGAAATCCAGTCACCAGTACAGACTGAAACAGGTGTTTCCCGGCAGAGAAGGGGCCAGATGGAATTCAAAATAGAAACTGAAGTGCTGATAACACAGGGTTTATGATGTCTGTCCCCGAGCTGTCAGACGCCATTTTATATTCTCACATGTTTACAACAGGGGCATGACTACACTTGCCTGACTCCTGATAACTGCACGAGCCCAATTGTCCAGTGTCTGAGCAACTCCCTGTCTTGTGAAGTGGGTGCTTTGGAAAGCAGCCACATTACAAGGAAGAGAGTGCCAGAACCTTGCAATCAGGACACCTGGGTTCTATGTCCTGAGTCTGAAACTTATTGACTAGGTAGAACCTCAGTTTTCTCATCTGTAAAATGGGAGCAATAACTCATACACTACATACTTCCTAGAAGATGTTGGAAAGAAAGAGCTCAGTAAACCTTAAAACATTATAGCATTTAATTGTTACTGGGGGAGCTGCAATGCTAGATGCGAGCATTCTGTTTAGTGTTTGGTCCTGTCCTTTTCATAAGACAAATCTCACCGTTTTAATAAATACTATGACCAGCTCTTGTTCATGTCTAACAAAATTATTTTCCAAACCTTAGTATTCTATATGATAAAATTTAAATCCAACAACACTATTTGGAGAGCCTCATGGAGTTCTTGTAGCCTTGGACAAATATCTCACTATCTCTGGGCCTCAACTTCCTTTTCCATAATATGAAGACCCTAAGGTCCCTTTTCGTTTTTAGCTTCTGTGTTCTATGATTTGGGCAGCCAGGTGGTACAGTGGATAGAGCACTGGACCTGAAGTCAAGAAGACTCATCTTCTTGAGTTCAAATCTGGCTTCAGACACTTACTAGTTGTGTGACCCTGGGCAAGTCACTTAACCCTGTTTGCCTCAATTCCTTCATGAGCTGGAAAAAGAAATGGCAAACCACGCCCGGATCTTTGCCAAGAAAACTTCACACGGAGTCATGAAGTATCAGACACAAGTGAACAACAACCACAGTTCTATGATTTCATTCCCCTTTTAATTCTGATTTTCTAAAATTGTATGAGATCTGCCCTGGCATATCTTTGTCTTACCGTTTTAATATCACAAATCCCATATTAGCCTGACAAATCAAACAGGGCATCTAGAAGGGCCTGATTGAATCCGCAGAAGCAGTTGACCATCAGAGTAGTTGACCCTCAGCCAGGCTCTGTTCTCTCCAGGATGCCAAACAGAAATGACTATAAATCCACGTACAGTCATTCAACAACATTATAATACAGCTACTCTGTACCTAGCACTAGTGAGAGGTCATCTAAGGATTGAGGATTGGGGTGGAGGGAGACGCAGAAGAAAAACAATATTAAGGGCAGCTGGGTGGTGCAGTGGGTAGAGCGCCAGCCCTGAAGGAGGACTTGAGTTCAAATCCAACCTCAGACACTTACTAGCTCTGTGACTCTGGGCAAGTCACTTAACCTTGACTGCCTAAAGGGGAGGGGAGGTGGGAGAAGAAGAAGACCTGGAGGTGTTCAGGTAGAGTCTAGGTGGTCATTTTTCAGTACAGAAGATTCCTACATAGTATGCAGCAGCTGAACTAGAAGACTTCAGTTGAAAGATTCTCAGAGTTGAAAGAGATTTCAGAGAACATTCTACAAAGGAGGAAACTGAGGTCCAGAGAAGAGAATACATTTGCCCAAAGATACACAGATAGAGAGTGGTAGGCACAAATCAAAACCCCAAGTCTTTCTGATTCCCAGGCCAGGTTTTTGCCCATTCTCTATTCTACAACCATAAATTCATACAGACTTACGTCTGGCTCCAGTCCAACGCCCTCACTTTCCAGATAAGGAAATGGAGGGCCAAGGAATTTAAATGTGGAAACCATAATTGGAGCCTCTCTCCTACGGCATCACTAGCTGCCGGTGGTACCTCCTCCTTCACATAGGTTGGAGGACAAGACTGTGTTGCTTCTACCAATTGGCATGGGCACAGGGCCATTGTTCATCCAATTTTGACCACTACATCAAGAAACATGGGTTCTCTGAACATCAAAAAATAAGAACCCTTTCACTTCTCCCTCCTCCTTTGGGCTTGGCTCATATTCAGATTGTGGGGAAGAAGGAGAGGATGCAGCTAAATTAGAACCAGGGGGAGAAACTGAGTCAGCGATACACTTTAGAGCCAAAGGGGAATATATAGTTTATCTAGAAGGACCCCTTCATTTCACAGATGAGAAAATCAAGACCCAGCAAAGGGAAAAATTTGCCCATGGTCACAGTCAGGATATGAACTCAGGTCCACCATGGACTCCCAACCCATTTCCTTCCAATACAGAGACCAGGGGCTGATATGCCTATAGTCACGAAATGAGGTAAGCAGAATTCAACCTCAGCTCAAATCTTTTCCCCTGACGATCATCGGAAGACAGGCCTGTTCAAAGTAACGAAGCAGGGGCAAGTGCTTTGCCAACGTGTCTCTTTGGAACTGTTCCTCTGGGCTTCTCCAACTCATTTGCCAAGAATCCAAGGGGCCCTGGGACTTGGATGACTTCCTGGCTAAGTTGCAACCTCACCAGACTGGGATGGGTGGTTTTCTGCCTCAGCACTGACTCACTCAGTGGGTGTGGCATTAAGACTCAGTTTCCCTCACTGTGAAACAAGCATAAA